TGATTTAGCTGAGACTTAAATTCTACTACTTCTCACTCTCTCTGTTCCTTAAATGTTGGTTCTACCCATTCAGCTTTCTCAGCAAAATGTCCTGGAGGCTTCATCCTGACCTGAGAGGCCTGTGGCTGATCTCCATCCCTGAACCAAGCATCTGGCTGGAAAAGGTAGGAAATGCTGACAATCACAGCCCACCCCTGGAGCTGGGGGAGAGTTCATCCCATGCAAACCTCATGACCGGCCCCCAGGGGGAAGCAATAGTTCCCCAAAGGAAATCTGAGGGCACACTCCCTGCAGGAGAGGGAATGGGTGCGAGCAGCAAACAGCAGTTCTCCCCAACTCCTGCCGAGTCAGTCTTTCCCGGAGCGGGCCTGAAAAAGCATTTTAACAAACTCCATAAGGGATTCTTTTTATTTTAAAAGAGCTTTATGGAGACATAATTTACATACCATAAATTTCATCCCTTTGAAATGTACGAGTCACTGGTTTTTAGGATAGTCACAGCCTTGTGCAATCATCACAGTAATCTAATTTTATACCATTTCCACCATCCCTAAAAGGAACTCTGTATCCATTAACGGTCACCTGCCATCCCACCCCACCCCAGCCCTAGGTGATCATTAATCTTTCTGTCCCTGTGTATTGACCTCTCCTGGCTATTTCATATAAATGGACTCGTACATTATGCTGCCTTTTCTGTTTGACTTCTTTCACTTAGCTTCACGTTTTCAAGGTTCATCGATGTCGTAGCGTGTCGGTACCTCATTCCTTTTTATGGCTGAATAATATTCCACCATATGGATAGACCACATTTTGTTATCCAGTTGTCAACTGATGGGCAATTGGGCCCTTTCCACTTTTTAGCTATTATGAGCAATGCTGTCACGAGCATTCGTATACAGGTTTTTGTGTGAATGTAGGTTTTATTTCTCTTGCTTTAATACCTACAAGTGGAGTTGCTGGGTCACATGGAAACTTTACGTCTAACAGCTTGAGGAACTACCAGACTGTCTTCTAAAGTGGCTGCCTCATTTTACATTCTCACCAGCACGTACAGTGTTCTAACTCCTCCGAATCTTCCACAATACTGGTTATCATCTTTTTCATTACCGCCATCTTAGTGTGAAGTGGAATCTCATTTCGGTTTCTTTTTTTTTAAAGATTTTATTTATTTGTCAGAGAGAGAGCAAGAGAACACAAGCAGGGTGAGCGGCAGGCAGAGGGAGCAGGCTCCCCACTGAGTACGGAGCCCGATGTGGGGCTCAATCCCAGGACCCTGGGATCAGGACCTGAGCCGAAGACAGACACTAAGCCGACTGAGCCATGCAGGTGTCCCTCATTTCTGTTTTGATATGCATTTCCCTAATGACTAATAGTGTGCAGCGTGTACTTATAGGCTACGTCTATACCTTCTTTGGAGAAATGTCTGTTTAGATCCTTTATCCTTTTTTTTTTTTTTTTAAAGATTTTATTTATTTATTTGACAGAGAGAGAGATAGCGAGAGCAGGAACACAAGCAGGGGGAGTGGGAGAGGGAGAGGCAGGCTTCCTGCGGAGCAGGGAGCCCGATGCGGGGCTCAATCCCAGGACCCCGGGATCATGACCTGAGTCGAAGGCAGACGCTTAACGACTGAGCCACCCAGGCGCCCCGATCCTTTATCCTTTTTAAAGCGGATTTTCTTTTTATTATTGAGGTGTAGGAGTTCTTTGTAGATTCTGGATACAAGTCCTTTATCAGATATATGATTTGCAAATATTTTACCCTATTCTGTGAGTTGTCTTTCATTTTCTTGATGGTGTCCTGGGAAGCACTGAAAATTTTAATTTTGACGAAATCCAACATATCAAACCTCTCTTTAATCACTCGTGCTTTTGGTGTTGCATCTAAGAAATCTCCAAGGGATCCTATATATCCTAAAGTTTGATAACCAGATGCCCCGAAGACATACTTTATCTATTTTTATTTTTTCATTTAATTTATTTAAAAAGTTGGCCCTGGTCCTATAGTGGTAAATAACACAGATAGGGTTCCTGCTCTCATGGAGTTTGCATCTACCAATGGCATACTATAGGCAAATAAATAGAAAAAAATAGATATATTTTACATTGAGATAAATTTTATATAGAAAGAATAGGGAGCTCTGAGAGAGAGCAGAGGTTAGAGAACCTCTTTTAGGCTGGTCAGGGAAGACTTCTCTGAGGAGGTGACATTGAAGTTGAGATGTGAAGGGTAAGAAGGAGTCAGCCTGTGATGAGTACAGGAATAATATTTTATGCAGAATGGACAGCATACTTCACAATTTTGCTTTGACTAGTTTTATGTGGACTATTGGATTGGAAAGATACTTTTTTAAAAAAAAAATTTATTTATTTATTTGAGAGAGAGAGAATGAGAGAGAGCACATGAGAGGGGGGAGGGTCAGAGGGAGAAGCAGACTCCCTGCCGAGCAGGGAGCCCGATGCAGGACTCGATCCCGGGACTCCAGGATCATAACCTGAGCCGAAGGCAGTCGCTTAACCAACTGAGCCACCCAGGCGCCCTGGAAAGATACTTTAAAGATGTCTTACCATATGCAGATTATTCAACCAGCATTTAGGATTCACTTGGACAAAGCCACTCATTATCTTAGTTCAGAAGTCTTTTGGGGACCCCAAAAGGGAGTGACTTATGAAAGTGACTTGGAAAAGGAGAATTACTGTGTATCTCTCTCTTCTTTTCTTGAAAAAAATTCTCACACAAAATCCATGCCATGTTTTTCACACAACTGTCACCTATACAGTGATATTTAGTGAAATAATTGATAATAATTTTTCTTTCATTTCTCTGCATCTGAGTGACTACTGCTTACAGCTCAATATTAGCTCCAGAAGGGGAAAAAAAAATCTTAAGAGAGCAATTGAAAAAAATGCATTTGTTGGCAGCAATTTCTATTTTTGAATGCACAGTAAGTTCTGAGCTTATGAGCTATGGGAAGAAAAACCTTTGTGATAAATAATATATTTGATAATGAGCAGCAGGAGAAAAAAAAACGGCTTTCATCTGAAGAGTTCAAAATGAAATAGAGTAAGTATGGGAAGGGCATCTTCTGCATCATGGGTGGATATGGGGGTGATCCTTAATTGTTTTTCTTGTCCTCTCCATGCCAGTCTATGGCATATCTTCTCAGACCTTTCTTAAATGTCAACTTTCAAAAGGGCTTAGCTCTCAGGCTCTATGGCACCAGGTGATTTACTTACATTATTTCATCTTTTTAAACTCAACAGAGAGGCATGTATGAGTATGCCTTTTTTATTAATAAATAAGCTGAGATTCAGAAAGGTTAAATAACTCCCCCAGGGTCACAAAGATTAGCCAGTGCCAGAGTCAATGCAAATTAAAAAAACCAAAAAACCAAAAAAAGACCCAAAAAAACCAACAATACCCCAAAACAAAAAACCAAAGCAAACCCTGGGATTTCAGAATAAAAGTCTAAAACAATTTTGAGAACAAACTGCTTTAAGCTCCTTCAGCATCTGGCTTTCTGGTGACCTAGACTCTGAGAGGAGTTTCAGCTTCCGGTTTTGGACCAAATAAAGCATCTATCCCATAGGAATATTAAGGCATCCATTAACTTTTTTTTCCCCTCCCCATTATCCCATTTGTCCCTGAAGACAAGCTAGGTGTTTGGTAAGTGCTAGAGAGTAAATTATTGCTCTAAATGGTGCTTCAGTGGCCTAATAAGGAAGCAGCTCCCACAGTGCCAATCTGTCGATAAGGGAATAATTAATGCATTCATCAAAGCAGATGGATTTCAGAGGAATTTGCATCCTGCTCTGGGTGCAGCATCAGTTTTTGCTGGAGTTTCCTGAGCTGGGCTTTGTGAATTCTTACCTGACACCCTCCCGCCCTGTTTTCTCTTCCTTCCTCCCTCCCTCCTGCAGTTCACCTTTTGCTTCAACTTTTCTTCCCCTTATTTTAGCCTGCTGCATGCGGCTAGGGCCGGTACAGAACGTAGGGAGTGAGGAAGGGGAAAAAACATGAAAAGGAACTGTTCTGTCCTCTGAATTGGCAGCGCCCTGGTCTGTGTGTTGTAATTACCGCTCCTCGGCCTTTGGGTCGGAGGGAGAGTAGAGTAGCAATTGCAAAGATCTGTTTACGTTCACCCTCCCACTCTCGAGGTCTGTGGGTTCCTCAAAGGCTGGCTCCGCGGTTGATTCCCTGTGCTATTTCCAGGGCGCAGGACGGTGTCTGGCACCAGGCAGATGTTCCTAGACGTTGGTAGGATGAATGAAAGGTGAGCAGGAAAGGCAAGGGCAGGAGGAGTACAGGGCGAGATGGGAGGAGGAGGAGGAGGAGAATGGGGCTGTGCGGAGCCCACGGGGAGAATCCGAAAGTACGAGTGCAAAGGAGAGAGAAATGCAAAAGGGGACGTCCCAACGGCTGGAACTGGGACGGAGCGACGGGGGTCAGGGAAGGCCCGAGTGCGGGCCACAGGCGCGGAGTGGGGCGAGCCGACACGGTAAGGGCGAGACAAAGAGCAGCAGGCGAGGCTGGTCGTGGGAAGAACCGGGAAGACGGGGAGCCCGGGGCGCGGGGCTGGGGAGGGCCGCGCCGGGGCGGGGAGGGGCGCCGGCGCGGGGCGCGGGGGGCCGCGGGGGGCGGGGCGGGGCGGCGCGGGGGAGGAGGGGCGCGAGCGCCGCAAAGTTACTTGGCCTGCGCCCGCCCGGGTCCGCGTGCTGGCGGCGGGGCGGCGGGAGGGGCGAAGCGGGGCTCGGCGGCTTGAAACCCGAAACCTCCAGTCCGCGAGCGCGGCCGGGAGGAAGGAAGCGGCGGCGGCCGAGGCGGGAGGCGGCCGGGCCGGGGCCCTGAGCGGCGGCGGCGGCGGTGGCGGCGCGGTGAGCCGGGCTGGGGGGACGCGGGCGGCGGCGGCGGCGGCGCGCGGGCCGGGCCCGAGCGGGGCTGAGTTCCGGGCAGGGCGGGCGGGCGCGCGCGCGGGGGGTGGGGGGGAGGGCGCCGGCGGGGAGGGTCTCGGCGCCCCTTCCCCCACGCCTCCCCGCCCCCACGGCGCTCTTCTTTCTCCGCGCCCCACGGCGGGTAGGGGCTGTGCTCCCGGCCGCGCTCCGCCAGCCGCGGGGGAGCCGGAGCTCTTTGTGGGAAGATCTTGGGGGCGCGTCCCTCCCCTGCGGCCAGGGGCTTCGGACAGGCCCTTCCCCCCGGCCCGCCCCATTTCTCCAGCGCCGCCCGCAGCCCCTTTTTCTAAGGCCCCGGGGCAGGGAGGACATCGGTGCATGCCCGGGACCCGGCTGATCGGGGCCGTGCTCCCTCGAGGCAAGGGGCTCACGCCGCGCTCGGGGACAGACGTGGGGGTGGGGGTGCAAAGCGGCCTCGCCCCTCGGCTGGAATCCGTGAGGACCAGGTAGGTGAGCCTCATCCTCCCAGTCGGGCTCAGGGCGCTGTCTGCCCGAGCCTGGGCGACAGGCGCGCCCAGAAGTCGCCGGGCCGACCCAGGCGCGGCGGGGTGGGCGCCTCCGCCCCTCACATCTGCCAGAGGGAGATTCGGTGAGCTTTGGGGGGACTTGGCCAGCCTTCTGAGCCAGAGCTTAACCCCGTGGCGCCTTCTGACAAAGGCAGGTGAGGTGAGAATGTCTGTTGGATGACCGGGATGCTCTGGTGCGCTTCCGAGAGGTCTGCTTTCCAGTAACCACACGGCCGTGCTTTGGCATCACTTTATAACACATCTCTGCGGCTGTTTTTGTTCGCTATTGTACCTTTCATCCGTTTTTGCAAAGTGCTTTCAAGAGCAGGTCATTTGATCCTCCTCACTGTGGAGTAGGGAGGTGGTGTGGTTTTGGAGGGAAAGAACCCTAGTGCCTTGATATGTCCAATGGGGATAATGGTAACTTCGGGCAAGCCCATCTCAGTGTGCTGGAGGCTGGGGAGGACGCACATCCCCGGGCCTCCTCCCCAGCTGGCCAGCCTCCTCTCTCCCTGTGACCTGGCCCTGGAAATGAGCTGGGGAGAGCTCCTGCATGGGGAAATAAGTGGCTTTCCCTTAGGATCCATCCTGCCATGGAGACGGGTGAGGAGAGGCATTTCCCAGGCCCTCCAAGCAAAAAGAGGAGGCGGGAGGACCTCAGGTCACACAGACACGGGCTCTTCGTCCTCTTTTCTTTAACTGGGATTTGTGTCACCCCTTTCTGTCACTTCTGCCAAAGCGCTCCTCTTTTCTTGTTCTAGTCCACACCTATCTTGCTTTGTACCTGAAAGGTGTTCATAAGCACTTTTCATATACACTTTTTAAAATTCCATTCACTTAGCCTGTGAAGTGCAGTTAGCCTGTTTTAGAGATGGGAAAACAGACTCAAGAGAGGTAAGTACTCCGCCCAGGAGCCAGGATTGAACTCGGGTCTTTGGACTTGCAATGCTTTTCACACAGACGGGTCCTTGAACTCAGGACTTCTCCCTGCCCCAAAGTTCTACCGCCGTGGCAGGGAGATTAGGGACCCCTCAACAAGAGGCCTGCTTGGCATTTTAGAAACTAAATCCAAGGCCTCAGGTACTCATGCCATTCTCTTTGTGTTGCAGCCCTGCGAGGTGGGAGTATCAGATGAAGGAGGACCGTGCGGTCAGAGGGGCTGAGCTCTTTGTTTGGGTTCCGTGGAAGGCAGAATGGGCTGAACTGGAACTGACCTAAATGTCCACCAAAGGAGGTACAATTCTGTGGTGTAAACTCTGCTGCTACCTGGGCCAGTCAGGAAGCCTTGCATGCAGGAGGAGGGCAGGCAGGAGGGCTGGGGGGGGGGGGGGTTGCTGGTGGGGGGACTGGAGGGAGGGGGGGCTGGGAGCATGCCTCCCTATAAAGAGACAGGTGCAGGTACAACAGTGCTCCAGCACGTTGTTGCTTGACCTGAATTTGTGGGCGGGGGCGGGGGGGAGCTGTAAATTTTTATGGGAAGAAAATCTCATGTTTTTAAAGTTGGCAACTAATTCAGAACAGTTTTCAAAATGGGCAGGGCCACCAAATTATGTGTGCAGGCTGATTGTTGCCTGCAGACTGCTAGCTTGCAACCTCTGGGTTAGACCTTAGGAGGCACTTGTCATTCTGAGATGCAATAAAGCATGACTAGAAGGGAGGAGTGGTGTCTTCTAGCTGTTTTTCTTTGAGAACAAAAAACATCAACAAAACTGGAGATAGCGATTGGTGCTGCCTGGAGTTCGGAGGAAGGGTTGACTTTATGACTCAGGCCTTCATTCATTCAGTCAGTGCTAATCTCATCTGATTCTAGTCTTCCACCAGAAGAATGCTTACAACCGGGTGGTATCTTTCCCTCGGCCAGTTACGTGCCCAGCAGGCATTCGGGGCAGATCTGTTCAGGGAAGCTGGGAGCATAAAGGAAGGTGTTTTCTATGTGACCTGGGGTGAAACAGGAGGAGGCACATCAGATTTGGGTTTGGGTTTGGTTTTTACTCAAGTAGCAGGTGAGAGAGCACTGCATCAAGAGCACTATCTGAAGTCAGGCAGCCTGCACACACCTCTGCCATTTATAAACCTGTGACCTGGGATGAATACTGTAAAGCATGCTTAGAATGTAGTAACTTTTTAAAAAAACATGAATTATTATAAAAGATTTTTTAAAAATGGAAAAATGTATAGGAAAATAAAATTCCCTCCACTTCTCTTTCATTCCCTCTCCTCACCTGCAAGGGAACCACTGTAAGTGTAGTATTTTCTAGGTCTTCTTCAGCGCCTGAGTATATGTCAACCAAGTCTGGAAGTACAGGTGACTATGTAATACATAGTTTATTGATACTACACTATAAGACATGATAAAAATATTATCTGCCTTTCCAACTTTGGGACCAGCCTTAATATATTGAATATGCTTTTAAAAATACATAAATGGGGATCATATATTATTGTGTGCTCTCTGACTTACTTTTTTGACTTAAAAATGGGACTTGGATGTCTTCCAATATCAAAAACATAGGGGCGCCTGACTGGCTCAGTTGGTGGAGCGTGTGACTCTTGATCTCGGGATCATGAGTTTAAGCCCCACGTTAGGTGTAGAGATTACTTAAAAATAAATAAATAAATAAAGAGGTGCCTGGGTGGCTCAGCCGGTTGAGGTCTGCCTTCGGCTCAGGTCATGATTTCAGGGTCCTGGGATCGAGCCCCGAGTCGGGCTCCCTGCTTAGCAGGGAGTCTGCTTCTCCCTCTCCCTCTGCCCCTCCCTCCTGCTTGTTCCCTCTCTCTCTGAAATAAGTGAAATCTTTAAAAGACAAAAAAGAACAAAGAATATAGATCTACTCCATTCTTTTTAATGGCTGCATAGTATTTCATAGTATAGATTCACCATAATTCATTTAACAATCCCCTATTTATGGGCCCTTAGATTGATTCCAACTTTCTCACTTACACATAATGCTGTAGTGAACACACATCTCTGTGTACATGAGAGTATTTCTGGATAAAACTTATTCCTACCAGTGAAGCTGGTGAGCCGAAGGGTATGTTATTTTAAGGGGCGCCTGAGTGGCTCATTCATTGGAGCATCTGCCTTCGGCTCAGGTCATGATCCTGGGGTCCTGGGATTGAGCCCCAGGTTGGGCTCCCTGCTCAATGGGGAGTCTGCTTCTCCCTCTCTCTGTGCCCTCCCCCCAGCTTGTGCTCTCTCTCTCTCGCTCATTCTCTCTCAAATAAATAAAATCTTAAAACACACACACACACACACACAAACCCCATTTATTTAAGCAGGGGCGCCTGGGTGGCATCTGTCTGCCTTCGGCTCGGGTCATGATCCCAGGATCCTGGGATTGAGCCCCACATAGGGCTTCCTGCTCTGCGGGGAGTCTGCTTCTCCCTCTTCCTCTGCCCCTGCTTGTGTGCTTTCTCTCTCACTCTCTCAAATAAATAAATAAAATCTTTTAAAAAATTATTTAAGCAGAATTCCCTTTGTTTATTGTAATCTGGGATTGTGCAGAAAAGCATACCATTCTGCTACCCTATTCTGCTCATGGAGTTTTAAAAAATTAGCCTACATCTTGGAGACCATTCCCGATCAAAGTACTATGCATTTTAGGTTCTCCCAAGTTTATGCTTAAAAAAAAAAAAAAGTTAATCAATTTACACTCCTCCAAATTGTCCCATGAAATCCTTTTCCAGTTTTTCTGTTGAGTTGTTTGTGATTTCATCAATTCTTGAGGCTCTTTCTAAATTCTGGAATTTAATTCTTTTCTTGTTAATAAATCAGATCTCTTGCCTTTTATGTTTTCTTCCCCAGCTTTGCTTACTGTGATGTGCAGAAGTGATGACTTTTTACGTGGCTGAATCTGTATCACTTTTCTGTGGGCCTCAAGTTTTCTGTCCTGCTTAGGAAGCCCTCTCCTGTCTCAAGATTAACCATTCTTATATTTTCTCTTTCCTCTCTATTCTTTCTTTGCTTTTTTTCATTTAAAAATATTTTACATTATTGGGGCACCTGGGTGGCTCAGTCAGTTAAGCGGCTGCCTTTGGATCAGGTCATGATCCCAGGGTCCTGGGACTGAGTCCCGCATCAGGCTCCCTGCTCAACGGGGAGCCTGCTTCTCCCTCTGCCTGCCACTCCACCTTCTTGTGTTCTCTCTCTCTCTGTCAAATAAATAAAATCTTGAAAAAATATTTTACATTGCTGTTTCTTTTCTTCTGCCTTTTTCCATGTTCCCTGCTCTCGGACAACAGGGAAGGCAGGGTTTGAATTTGTCTGTGAGCCTCGTTAGGCAATGTGGGATCTCTATTTTCTTTCATTTTTAGGGGGACTTTTTTCATCAAGTCTTGAGGATGAGTTCTCCCCTGGGTGGGAGAAGAGGGAGAATGGGCATTCTCAGTGGACATTGCTGTGCCAAATCACAAAACTGGAGAACAGCCCTGGGTGTTTAGAGAGCCACAGTGGAGGGGCTTGCAAATGAGCATGTTGTGCAGGTGGATGAACCTGGCAGGGTATGACCAGGCTGGTTAGGAGTCGATTGTCCAGCAACTCTGGGGAGGAGTGGGGGGGGGGGCAAAGGTGAGAAGATGAGATAGAAATGTCTGGTAGTCATCGAGGAGAAAGATGGGGAGGCTGCCAGCAAGGGTAATGGCAGTGACCATGAAGTTTTGAGTTAGAATTTAGGGATGCACTAGATGTCTGTGATAAGGAATGGAACCGACCAACCAACACTGATTGCTTCACATACAGCATCTCATAGAAACAAGCAAGTCCATATGAAAATCCAAGGCTCAGATATGTTCATTCATCTCCCCAAGGTCACACACTCAGAAAATGGCAGTCGGGGTCTTAGCCCCATCAGGATTACCTGGCAAGAATGCTCTCTGATGTCCCGGGTTTCCGTCTTGAGTGATTTGGGCGGGGGGTGATGCTTTTTCTAGGATGGTGAAAAACACGAAGACTAGCAAGAGATGGTAGAAGCATTGATGATGAATTCCATTTTGCACATGTTCTGGCTGAGGTGCCTGGGTGTGACAGGTGGGAGAAAACATCTGCTGGGTGGGCGGATATGAATCTGGAACTCCAAAGGGTTGTCCGGGATCTGGATGGAGATTTTGGAGTCATCACTGTTCAAGTGGGTATAGAGAGTGCACAGAGAGAGATGCTAGGTATCAAGTGGGACTCTTCCTTTTCCAAGAGGTAGAAAATCCAGTTCACATTGGCTGAAGCAGAAAGGAAAGTTACTGGCTCCCATCCCTAAAAAGCTCAGGAGCGTGTCTGGCTTCAGGCATGGGTTCCAGGTTCAAACGATTCTATCAGGACTCATTTTCTTAGCTGCTCTTGTCTCAGGCTCTCCCCTCGAGATGGCTAGGGGAGGCTGCAGGTTCAAATCCAGGGGGAGAGGGGAGCCGTCTTTCCCCCAGCCACCCCAGCAGCAGGCCCTCACGTCTCATAAACTGAGTGGGTCAGAGGGAGTTGGAATGTGCTGGTTGGCGAGGAATGAATCGTGTCCTATCCATGAAGGCGCATGGACTGCAGGTCTGGAAAGGGTGACTCTCCAGAGGAAACTGGGGGACAGCTCCCAGAGCAAAGGAATGTAGAGGAGGGAAATGGTTTCCTCTGTAGATGGGAGAGGGAGAAGTAGCGCAGCAGGGGCCCCTTGGGGAGCAGCCGTGCTGACGGCAGGAGAGCTCCAGGTAAGCAAGACTGGCAAGGAATGAAGGAGGGAGAGGCAGGGGAGAACTGCAGCGGGGGAGGCCATGGGCAGAGGGGGTCTCAGAAGAAAATAAAGTCGGTCGAGGGCATCAGGTGCTGCCGGGAGCTCACGGAAGGGCGCGTTGGATTTGGTGAGGAGGTCATCCTTGCTCGAAGCAAGGACAGTCGTTTATTTTACACCTGACTGGGACTGCCTTCAAGAGGCTCAGCTTCCTACCCCAGCCAGGCCTGGGGCTGACCAGGAAGGGCCAAGGTGTAGGGAGAGCAGTCAGGACATCTGGGCTCTACCAGTAATTACGTGTGTGGCTAAGTAACTCACTTAACTCTTTGGGCTTCAGTTTCATGGTCTGTAAGATAACACAGCTATGCTGAGTTGTTCCTGGGGCCTCAAGAGCCCTGAAATGTTGGCGATTAAGGAAGCTGATCACTTCAAACCCCCTCGTTAACCCTCATTAACCCTGGTCCAAGCTTTTCAGCTACCACTTGGGCTACAGCAGCCACCTCCTCGCTGGTGTCCCTGCCGCCGCGCT